TCATCATCATCATCATCATCATCATCATCATCATCATCATCATCATCCTTAGCATTTGTAAAGTGCTTTAGGTTTTGCAAAGCATTTACATATGTTTTCCCAAAAGTATCCTCCCAATTAAGTCCCAAATAAAGAATTTCCACTCTACAGGCTCATCAAATTAATTGCAAGAACTCTCCTGATTAACTTCCCACAATGGTATTATATTCTAATTCTTTAAAAACTGGTAAACTGGGCCAAGTATATTTGGCAATTCTATATTAACCAGAATTCACCAATAAGCCATAAAATCATACACAAGAGCCACACTGTAGTTATGATATCTGTTCCTGAGGGCTGGGCTTTAATGAGCTATGATCTGCTTATTCATATTTCTGAGAAACACCTTTATTCTTCTGGTACTTAGCATATTCTTTTGAATAAATAATCACTGAATAGTACATCTTCTGTTGTTTAATAAGGAGACTTTATTGCATCTTGCTCCATTGAAGTCCTTCCCATTGTTCTAAAATTAATTCCTCCAGACTGAGATGAAAAACCAAAGGAACTTCCTTCATCTCATTCATAAGACAGATCAAAATATGTTCAAACTAAAGAGAAAGGATTATTTTGAAAATAGCTTTGGCTGTCTAAAACACTTATTGCTTTATCCATAATCGTATATGTTTTTTATTCTTCCACTAAAGTCCTCTGATGCTCATCACAATGGGGGAGTAATCCTGGGTTATTGAAGGATATGCCTTCATGGCAAGTTCACCCATCGTGGTTTAGTAATAGACTACATGGCCCTTGAGTCCAATCCCTTCATCTCACAAATGAAGAAACTGAAGCATAGAGCACATAAGTGACTTGCCCAGGGTCATGTCAGTATGTGAGGTGAGATTTAAACCTGGTCTTCCTGATGGCACGCACAGTGTTCTATCTACTATCCTGCTTTGCCTTAAATTCTTCTATGAGAGATTTGTAGAAAGATATGGACAAAAATCATATCAGATGAGAAAGCACAGAAGAGCTGTGGCTCTGCAATGGTGCAAAAAACACTCATGATGAGCTCCTAGGTCCATCTGAATATGTTTTCTATTGATGAATGAAATAATAGCATTTAGCTTTTATTTTTGTTTCTTTTGAGGTGGGGAAATCAAAAGGGGATAGTGGTGTTCTTAACTCAGATCTGAAAATCTATCTATGTTCTTCAAAAATGACAGAAATCTTTGAGAATTTTCTTGCCATTCTTTAGAAATCAATCTAAGAAGGAAATTCGACTTGTCTAGAATTTTCATCAGTTTACTACATTTCAAGGATTAGGAATGAATCTGGGGTTTCATCAGTATGAAAAACTTTCAGCTGAGGAAATTCCTTTTACCAGAGTAGGTCAGCACCACCTTTAGAGTCTTAAGGAGTAATGTAGGGACTTCAGTGGTTAAGTGACCTGTAGAGGGGGTAACATGGACAGTGTATATCAGAGGCAGAACTTGCACCCAGGTCTTCCTGGCTCCATGACCAGCTTTCTAAATGCTCTACCATGTTGCCTCTCTACTTCACTGCAAACACAGTAAAACCTAACTCTGGTCAGTAAAAAACAAAAACAAAACAGACAAATAAAAATCCCTGTGGCTCAAATTTAAAGGAATCAAAGTGGATTTAAAAATAAATTGAAATAAAAGAAATTTACATGATAACTTTATTATATACTTAAATGAATAGCAAGTTGTACATAATAAATTTGCAGTTTTATGTGCAATCATCTTTTTATTATATTTATATTATTTATATATACAATATATTTATATTATACATAGCATATATTATATGTTATGGAAATGCTTGTTTTATTCCATAAATTAAAAATAAAACAAATTAAATTTTTTTTACAAGACTGAATTTATAGTGATAAATATGTAATGGTACCTTAACTGGACTATGTGAACATAATTATATACATAATATCCACTACTATTGATTTATGAGGAATTGGGAATGGTAGATTGAATAAGGCATACAAAAATATTGACTGAAGAAATCTCAACTAAGATTCAGTGTATAAAATGAGAAAATAAACTGCATCTGCATTAGATTGTGAGGTCTTTCAAGGCAACAACTATCTTTTCTTTTCTTTTCTTTTCTTTTTTTTTTTTTTTGCTTTTTGGTGAGGCAATTGGGGTTAAGTGACTTGCCCAGGGTCACACAGCTAATAAGTGTCTGAGGTCAAATTTGAACTCAGGTTCTCCTGACTTCAAGGCTGGAGCTCTATCCACTGCACCAACTAGCTGTCCTATCTTTGCTTCTTTTTGTATCTCCAGGGCTTAGCACAGTGCCTGGTACATAGTGGCACTTAATAAATGTTTGTTGATTGATTATTAATATTACAAAATGCATGGTAGTTTTCATGGAAGACTGAAATTCACTCACACATTTACTGAAGGCTTGAGTAAGTTACTTAACCTCTCTCTGAGCCTCAGTTTCCTCCCTGTAAGATGAAGGAGTTGGACTAAATGACCTCTAAGGTCCTCTCTAGCTGTAAATGTGATGCTATGACTTTGTCATTTATTCAACGTAGTATTAATTCAGTACCTATTGTATGCACGTCATTGCGCTGAAGTCCAAGGAAGAGCTGGGATCTATTACTTAAGTATTGCCTTTAATTTAACATAGCATTCTCATCATTCCAGCCCTTGTCTGCCTCCCTTCCCTTACTCCTACTTGGAGGGCCCATCCTATGGATGTGGCTACCCTAGGTTCAAGGTGCTGAGTCTGCATTCTCAAAATGATAGCTCATGAGCCTCTGAGGATTTGTTTATTTTTCAGTAGTCATCCATAAGGGACAATTGACTCAAAGGGATTTCCTAAAATAGCACAGTAAAAAGATTTACTATAAAATATTCCTCCTCCATGATAAATTGAAGACACACTCTGCCATGAACGTACATACTGCCAATAAGAAAAGCGAGCAAGGACAGAGATCGCCTCCTAGAATCCCACTCATGAGAAACAGGAATAGATGGGCAACTCACACGCACAGTGCTACCGGGTCTTTCATGTCCTCTTTGATGTTCCACCATTGGTCATTAAGAGGTACAATGTCTTGGGAAAGCACCTTGTTCTGCCAAGCTCCCTGGACCAGCTCTCTGCTAAATGGGTAATTCAATTGTTTTCTGATCCTTCCAAATGAGGACACTCAAAGTCTAACACCCTTACAAATTGCAAATGGACCACTAAAGACTACACTCTATAATTTCATCAAGTAAAATGGGGGACTCAGTTGATGGATTTCTGGTCAGCCTCCTTACACCTTCCTCCCAGTTTAATTTGTTCCCTAGAGATACTTTGGCATAGGTTCATATTGCCAATTTTAGATAGCTCTCCTGTGATGTGGGCATTATGTTCTTTAGAGTTCCTTCTCACTTTCAAGTCCTAAAAATACCAGCAAAATCCACGTGGCACAGTTCTTAGACAGTCTGAATATTGACAATTTTTTTTTCTAATAAGGATTTAAACCTATCATGGTCAATGGATCTAAAGATCCATTAGTCAAGCCTAAATACGTAGTTGTCAAATTTAACATCCTACCAAAGAAAGCCTTTAGGTAGGTCTTTCCATGTTGGATGTGTGTGTATTTGAGCGTGTTCACATGTATGCAGGAACAGGCATAGGTACTTAATAGTCATTATGGATATTAGAGAGCAGTTTGATGACTTAGTGGATAGAGTGCTAGCCCTAGAGTCAGGAAAACTCTTCCTGAGTTCAAATCCAGCCTCAGACACTTACTAGCTATGTGACCCAGGGCAAGTCACTTAATCCTGTTTGCCTCAGTTTCTTCATCTGTAAAATGAGTTAGAGAAGGAAATGGCAAACCACTCCAGCATCTTTGCTAAGAAAACCCCAAATGGGTTTGTGAAGAGTCAGACAAGATTGAAAACAAATGAACAAGTCACAGGGGAAAATCAACAGCAATGATAGTGGTCACTTTGGTAGGGAGTACAAAGAACATTGGATTTAGAGTTCAAAGGTCTGGGTTAACACCTTAGTTCTCTGACCTCTCAGGCAAATCCTTTCCTCTGATTGTTTTTCTTGACTAAATGAAGCTAAAATCCTTTCTAGAGCTAAATCCTATGAATAATCTTAAGAACATCACAGGGTTTCTTTTTTTTTGTTGTTCAATAAACCAATCAATTAAACCATTTAAACACTCACCCATATACTTATCCACAAAAGTTAAACTTGTAGCTGGAATTAAGGACATTGGGAATTGTATAAGGTCAAATAACAGTTTGTTTTCAACTTACCTCCTGCACATATGCTGGAAGGCTCAGCTGCTAAAATTTCAATGCATGACTTCTTTAAAATCTAGGGAAAGAAATGGAATTAAATATCTATGAGAAGTCAAATTATAAAGCAGCAATCATCAAAACTGCTTGGTACTGGCTAAGAAATAGAGTGGTGGATCAGTGGAATAGCTTAAATATGCAAGATACAGTAGTCAATGATGATAGTAATCTATTATTTGATAAACCCAAAGATCCCAGTTTCTGGGATAAGAACCCACTCTTTGAAAAAAAAACTGCTGGGAAAACTGGAAAAGAGTATGGCAGAAACCAGGCATAGACCAAAATCTCACATCATATACCAAAATAAAGTCAAAATGGGTTCATGATTTAGATATAAAGGCTGATACTATAAGCAAACTGGGAGAGCAAGGAATAGTTTACCTATCAGATCCATGGAGAACAAAAGAATTCATGACCAAACAGGAGATAGAGAACATTACAAAAAGCAAAATGGATAATTTTGAATACATTAAATTGAAAAATTTTTGCACAAACAAAACCAATACAACTAAGATTAAAAGGAAGGTAGAAAATTGGGAAAGAATTTTTACAACCAGTCTTTCTGATGAGGGCCTCATTTCTAAAATATATAGAGAATTAAGTCAAATTTATAAGAATACAAACATTCCCCAATTGATAAATGATCAAAGGATATGAACAGACAGTTCTCAGATGAAGAAATTGAAGACATCTATAGTCACATGAAAAAATGCTCTAAATCACTATTGATTAGAGAAATGCAAATCAAAACAATTCTGAGGTACCACATCACACCTATCAGATTGGCCAACATGACAAAACAGGAAAATGATAAATGTTGGAGAAGATGTGGGAAAATTGGAACACTAATGCATTGCTAGTGGAGTTGTGAACTGATCCAACCATTTTGGAGAGCAATTTAGAACTATGCCCAAAGGGCTATAAAAATGTGCATACCCTTTAACCCAGCAATAGCACTTCTAGGGTTATATCCCAAAGAGATCATACAAATGGAAAAAGGACCCAAATGCTGTTTGACAAAGAGTTGAGAGAGATCACAAGAACAATAGGAATTCCAAGGAGGGAGAAATCACTCAGGGTTAAGGAAGTCAGGGTCTCCATTGTAGAGGGCGTGAGTACTAAGATGTAATAGGATAGAATGGAAACCAGCCTAGACTTGGAGTCAAGAAACCTGGGCTCAAATCCTGGCTCCCTCACTGAATGCACTCTATGATTCTTATAAAGTCACTGAATCTTTCTGAGCATCAGTTTACCCATCTATGAAATGAAGGTGATGATAATATTTGTAGCGTGACTTCAACCAAAATTGATAAAGTTTCAGCCAAGTTGGTTCTCTTGATGAAAAAAAGAAAATAAGACAAAAAAATTCAGTAAAAATGAAAACAAGCATCAGATGAAGCAATGATTCAATAAAACCAAATAGAAAACACAGAGAAGCAACTCCAGCCAGTTCAGAACGATACAAGAGAGACAGAAATCTGTAGGCATTCTAAATGTTCAGAGGCTACACCAAGGGAAATTGAAGCTAGCGAGACCTGCAAACAGGGTCTGAAGAAAAGGGGTTCCCAAGTCCCAACTTGGAGGAACAATAGAAGGAAAAAAGCCATCTCATTATAGGTAATGGAGATAGGACAGAGGTGCCTGAGAGGTGTTCACCACAGGAGCCCTTCAGGAGGCCAGAGGTCAGTTCAATCTCTGATTTCTGGTCAGGACCTAGCAAGGGCACAAGAGGGAAAAAGCCACTTCTTGATGGGCACAAGGAGGACAGATGTGGTCAGGTAGCATGGGCCATGATACCCTTTGGGAGCTCTGAAAACTAGCATAATCTCAAATATCCTATTGGGGCCTATTAGAGCCATGTTGTTATTTAGTCACTTTTATCATGTCTGACATTACATGATCCCACTTGGGGTTTTCTTGGTGAAGATACTGGAGTGGTTTGCCATTTCCTTCTCCATAGCCATACCAAGGGATGAAGATAACTTTCATTGAATAACTGTAAAAGAAGGAGAAAGATCACAAGGCAGAGGCCAGTATGCATACAAGGCCACCAGGATTATAGATATAGAGTGAAAGAGACCTCACAGGCCATGTAATCTAACCTCCCTCATTTTACAAATGAAGAAACTGAAGCCCAGGAAATTAAGGTGACTTGACCAAGGTAACATAGGTCATAAGCATGAAAGACAGGATTTGAACACAGGTCTACTGACTCCAGGGTCAGTGCTCTTTCTGCTACACAAAAGTAGAAGCCAACAACCAAGGAAGAAGGTGGGGTCTATCAGCCTGTTCCCTATTCTAGGACAGAATTGAAGAAGAAGATAGGAAGGGAGACCAGGACCCAGCCACCTTATCCAGAATATCAGCAGGGCTTTGGCTATGGCCACCATATGTAATCCAGACTGCAGCAGGAATAGGGCCTAGGCCTGGTCACACCATTCAGAAGTATGAGTGGGGGCAGAGCTAGGCCCTGGCACAAAGTCCCATCCATAAATGAAGGTTGGAGACATGATTAAAAAGAAGAAAACACCTAATACAATGAAGAAATTATATAGGCTAATTAAAACCTGAAGAACTGTAGTCAGAATCACTCAAGACTATTCTGCATTTATAATAAAGGAAAGGAAATATTTGAAAATGATACAACAAAAGGCAAAAAAAAAAGGTTTGCAACCATGAATAACAGATAGAATCTTTAAAACACAAAAAAAGTGAGAAAAAAGAAACCTAGAAAGGTAAATACATCTGAACAACTGGAAGAGGTTATTTCTCAATAGACAGCTAGACAGCTCACTGCCAAACTTGGAGTCAGGAAGACCTGAGTTCAGATCCTGCCCCAGACACTTATTAGATAGCTGTATCACCCTGGGCAAGTCATTTAATGTCCATCTGCCTCAGTTTCCTCATCTCTAAAATGGGGCTAATAGTAGCATCTTCCTCCCGGTCTTGTGGTAAGGATGTTGATCATCATACGCTATTACCATTACTGTGTACTGAACAATGTTCTCATGGTTCTGCTCACTTCACTTTGCATCAGTTCATATAAGTCTTCCCAGCTTTTTCTGAAACCATCCTGATCCATATTTCTTATAACAAAATAGTATTTCATCACAATCACATGTGGATAAGAGAAGAAAGGGGCTGGAAAAGAATCTGTTATGTTTCAGCTGAGGTAAAAAAAAAGAAGCAGGGTTAACAATCATGATCTCTGACAAAGCAAAAGCAAAAATAGAAGTAATTAAAAGAGTAAAGCAGGAAAGCTACATTTTATTAAAAGGTACCACGGACAATGAAATACTATCAGTACTAAATATATATGTACCAAATGGCATAACATCCAAATTCCTAAAGTGAAAGTTAAATGAGTTATAGGAGGAAATAGAGAGTAAAACTATACTACTATGCTACTGGGGGGCCTCAATTGTAATTTAGAGCATTTTTTCACATGACAATAGATAGCTTTGATTTCCTCATTAGAAAACTGCCTGTTCATATCCTTTGACCATTTATCAATTGGGGAATGACTTGTATTCTTATAAATTTGACTCAGTTCTCTATAGATTTGAAAAATCAGGCTTTTATCAGAGAAACTTCTCGTAAAAAATTTTCCCCGGTTTCTTGTTTTCCTCCTAATCTTGGCTACATTGGTTTTGTTTGTGAAGACATCAAGGGGCATAATATTGCCTGGTTTCATCAAATTTTCCAGTTTATACATGGAAGTTTTGTGAAGGTCAGGAGACGTAAAGATACTAAACTGTGTCCCAGTAGGGTAAGTTTAGAACTGGCATTCAATTTGCCTAATCAGAGTGGAAGGGATATAGAACATTTCCCCTCCAAAGGTTATTGTTAAGTGAGTCTGTGAGGTCCTTCACTAATTGATCGTCTGGTCTCATTCTAAACTAAACCTTGACTTACTCTTTGGAGTTTCTGATAGTAGAACTCTAATCCTAAAGGCCTGAAACCACCTATTGATAGCTTCCACCTGGCCAGAGTTTTCAATGGCCTGTCAGATCTTAGGGATCTAAGTTCCCAAAGTCCTTCAGTAGAAGGCTCTCTTCCATCATCAATGGCAGTACTAATTAAATGATACTGCTAAATGAGAACTCATCAGGTTAACTTTGACTTTGTTAGTGATTAGAGAATTTGTGGGAGTGGAGTTTGAGGCACAATTTGATCTGAGTAAGAAACTGAGTAGCTCCTCCAACCATTAAAAAAAAAGCCTTTTTGGTGATCAGAACCAAGTGGTTGGAAGTTGGGAACCATATTATTGTAGTTGAATCCAGTCTCACTCCTCTGCTAGGGACTAGCCGAGCTTAGAGGTGAAAGTCATGGTATTGTTGAACCATTTTTCAGTCATGTCTGACTCTTTATGACCCCATTTGGGATTTTCTTGGCAAAGATATTGGAGAAGTTTGTCATTTCCTTCTCCAGCTCATTTTACTGATGAGGAAACTAAGGCAAACAGGGTTAAGTGACTTGCCCAAGGTCAGACAAAGTAGTATGATGGAAAGAAAACAAGATTTGGAGTCAGAGGACTTGAGTTTGAATTTCTTTTTCACTTCCTATTTTTGAGGCCTTGGGTAAATCATAGAATCTCTCTGGTCCTCAGTTTCCCCATTTGTAAAATGAGAAAGATTGGGCTATAGGATCTTTAATGTCTCTTCCAACTCACAATCTATGTTCCTATTATCAATCTATGTTCCTATTCCAATTAGAAGGTGTTCCACACTGCAGTGCCTTGGGGAAAAAATCTCATGCCTTCCATTGGGGCCTGTCCAGTCAAGGAGTAGGTACAAGTAGTAGGAACTGAGCAAAACAAGTTCCAAAGGTTAGAACTAGAAGGAGTAGAGGAAGTCTCAGAGAAATACTTAGACTTGATGTGACAAAATGCCTTCTAACAATTAGAGCTTTCTGCAAGTGGAATAGGTTGTCTAATAAAGTATTAGAGGATTAAGATAATAATACTTTATAATAATATAATAAAAATATAAAAATAAAGTATTCCCCTTAAAGTAGAGT